GAGCCATATTAACGGAGATAAATCGATTTAAAGATTTTCATACTCGCCAGCCTGAAAATTATGGGTTGGGACATGTTTTTCGACGAAAAAAAATTTTGACACCTAAAATCCCTCCAAATCTCGATTAGAGCCATATTAACGGAGATAAATCGATTTAAAGATTTTCATACTCGCCAGCCTGAAAATTATGTGTTGGGACATGTTTTTCGACGAAAAAAAATTTTGACACCTAAAATCCCTCCAAATCTCGATTAGAGCCATATTAACGGAGATAAATCGATTTAAAGATTTTCATACTCGCCAGCCTGAAAATTATGGGTTGGGACATGTTTTTCGACGAAAAAAAATTTTGACACCTAAAATCCCTCCAAATCTCGATTAGAGCCATATTAACGGAGATAAATCGATTTAAAGATTTTCATACTCGCCAGCCTGAAAAGTATGTGTTGGGACATGTTTTTCGACGAAAAAAAATTTTGACACCTAAAATCCCTCCAAATCTCGATTAGAGCCATATTAACGGAGATAAATCGATTTAAAGATTTTCATACTCACCAGCCTGAAATTTATGGGTTGGGACATATTTTTCGACGAAAAAAAATTTTGACACCTAAAATCCCTCCAAATCTCGATTAGAGCCATATTAACGGAGATAAATCGATTTAAAGATTTTCATACTCGCCAGCCTGAAAATTATGGGTTGGGACATGTTTTTCGACGAAAAAAAATTTTGACACCTAAAATCCCTCCAAATCTCGATTAGAGCCATATTAACGGAGATAAATCGATTTAAAGATTTTCATACTCACCAGCCTGAAATTTATGGGTTGGGACATATTTTTCGACGAAAAAAAATTTTGACACCTAAAATCCCTCCAAATCTCGATTAGAGCCATATTAACGGAGATAAATCGATTTAAAGATTTTCATACTCGCCAGCCTGAAAATTATGGGTTGGGACATGTTTTTCGACGAAAAAAAATTTTGACACCTAAAATCCCTCCAAATCTCGATTAGAGCCATATTAACGGAGATAAATCGATTTAAAGATTTTCATACTCACCAGCCTGAAATTTATGGGTTGGGACATATTTTTCGACGAAAAAAAATTTTGACACCTAAAATCCCTCCAAATCTCGATTAGAGCCATATTAACGGAGATAAATCGATTTAAAGATTTTCATACTCGCCAGCCTGAAAATTATGGGTTGGGACATGTTTTTGTTCTAAAAAAAATTTTGACACCTAAAATCCCTCCAAATCTCGATTAGAGCCATATTAACGGAGATAAATCGATTTAAAGATTTTCATACCCACCAGCCTGAAAATTATGGGTTGGGACATGTTTTTCGACGAAAAAAAATTTTGACACCTAAAATCCCTCCAAATCTCGATTAGAGCCATATTAACGGAGATAAATCGATTTAAAGATTTTCATACCCACCAGCCTGAAAATTATGGGTTGGGACATGTTTTTCGACGAAAAAAATTTTTGACACCTAAAATCCCTCCAAATCTCGATTAGAGCCATATTAACGGAGATAAATCGATTTAAAGATTTTCATACCCACCAGCCTGAAAATTATGGGTTGGGACATGTTTTTCGACGAAAAAAAATTTTGACACCTAAAATCCCTCCAAATCTCGATTAGAGCCATATTAACGGAGATAAATCGATTTAAAGATTTTCATACTCGCCAGCCTGAAAATTATGGGTTGGGACATGTTTTTCGACGATAAAAAATTTTGACACCTAAAATCCCTCCAAATCTCGATTAGAGCCATATTAACGGAGATAAATCGATTTAAAGATTTTCATACTCGCCAGCCTGAAAATTATGGGTTGGGACATGTTTTTCGACGAAAAAAAATTTTGACACCTAAAATCCCTCCAAATCTCGATTAGAGCCATATTAACGGAGATAAATCGATTTAAAGATTTTCATACTCGCCAGCCTGAAAATTATGTGTTGGGACATGTTTTTCGATGAAAAAAAATTTTGACACCTAAAATCCCTCCAAATCTCGATTAGAGCCATATTAACGGAGATAAATCGATTTAAAGATTTTCATACTCGCCAGCCTGAAAATTATGGGTTGGACATGTTTTTCGACGAAAAAAAATTTTGACACCTAAAATCCCTCCAAATCTCGATTAGAGCCATATTAACGGAGATAAATCGATTTAAAGATTTTCATACTCGTCAGCCTGAAAATTATGGGTTGGGACATGTATTTCGACGAAAAAAAATTTTGACACCTAAAATCCCTCCAAATCTCGATTAGAGCCATATTAACGGAGATAAATCGATTTAAAGATTTTCATACTCACCAGCCTGAAAATTATGGGTTGGGACATGTTTTTCGACGAAAAAAAATTTTGACACCTAAAATCCCTCCAAATCTCGATTAGAGCCATATTAACGGAGCTAAATCGATTTAAAGATTTTCATACTCGCCAGCCTGAAAATTATGGGTTGGGACATGTTTTTCGACGATAAAAAATTTTGACACCTAAAATCCCTCCAAATCTCGATTAGAGCCATATTAACGGAGATAAATCGATTTAAAGATTTTCATACTCGCCAGCCTGAAAATTATGGGTTGGGACATGTTTTTCGACGAAAAAAAATTTTGACACCTAAAATCCCTCCAAATCTCGATTAGAGCCATATTAACGGAGATAAATCGATTTAAAGATTTTCATACTCGCCAGCCTGAAAATTATGGGTTGGGGCTTTGTTTTTCGACGTAAAAAAATTTTGACACCTAAAATCCCTCCAAATCTCGATTAGAGCCATATTAACGGAGATAAATCGATTTAAAGATTTTCATACTCGCCAGCCTGAAAATTATGGGTTGGGACATGTATTTCGACGAAAAAAAATTTTGACACCTAAAATCCCTCCAAATCTCGATTAGAGCCATATTAACGGAGATAAATCGATTTAAAGATTTTCATACTCACCAGCCTGAAAATTATGGGTTGGGACATGTTTTTCGACGAAAAAAAATTTTGACACCTAAAATCCCTCCAAATCTCGATTAGAGCCATATTAACGGAGATAAATCGATTTAAAGATTTTCATACTCACCAGCCTGAAATTTATGGGTTGGGACATATTTTTCGACGAAAAAAAATTTTGACACCTAAAATCCCTCCAAATCTCGATTAGAGCCATATTAACGGAGATAAATCGATTTAAAGATTTTCATACCCACCAGCCTGAAAATTATGGGTTGGGACATGTTTTTCGACGAAAAAAAATTTTGACACCTAAAATCCCTCCAAATCTCGATTAGAGCCATATTAACGGAGATAAATCGATTTAAAGATTTTCATACCCACCAGCCTGAAAATTATGGGTTGGGACATGTTTTTCGACGAAAAAAATTTTTGACACCTAAAATCCCTCCAAATCTCGATTAGAGCCATATTAACGGAGATAAATCGATTTAAAGATTTTCATACTCGCCAGCCTGAAAATTATGGGTTGGGACATGTTTTTCGACGAAAAAAAATTTTGACACCTAAAATCCCTCCAAATCTCGATTAGAGCCATATTAACGGAGATAAATCGATTTAAAGATTTTCATACCCACCAGCCTGAAAATTATGGGTTGGGGCATGTTTTTTGACGAAAAAAAATTTTGACACCTAAAATCCCTCCAAATCTCGATTAGAGCCATATTAACGGAGATAAATCGATTTAAAGATTTTCATACTCGCCAGCCTGAAAATTATGGGTTGGGACATGTTTTTGAACGTAAAAAAATTTTGACACCTAAAATCCCTCCAAATCTCGATTAGAGCCATATTAACGGAGATAAATCGATTTAAAGATTTTCATACCCACCAGCCTGAAAATTATGGGTTGGGACATGTTTTTCGACGAAAAAAAATTTTGACACCTAAAATCCCTTCAAATCTCGATTAGAGCCATATTAACGGAGATAAATCGATTTAAAGATTTTCATACTCGCCAGCCTGAAAATTATGGGTTGGGACATGTTTTTCGACGAAAAAAAATTTTGACACCTAAAATCCCTCCAAATCTCGATTAGAGCCATATTAACGGAGATAAATCGATTTAAAGATTTTCATACTCGCCAGCCTGAAAATTATGGGTTGGGACATGTTTTTCGACGAAAAATAATTTTGACACCTAAAATCCCTCCAAATCTCGATTAGAGCCATATTAACGGAGATAAATCGATTTAAAGATTTTCATACCCACCAGCCTGAAAATTATGGGTTGGGACATGTTTTTCGACGAAACAAAATTTTGACACCTAAAATCCCTTCAAATCTCGATTAGAGCCATATTAACGGAGTTAAATCGATTTAAAGTTTTTCATACTCGCCAGCCTGAAAATTATGGGTTGGGACATGTTTTTCGACGAAAAAAAATTTTGACACCTAAAATCCCTCCAAATCTCGATTAGAGCCATATTAACGGAGATAAATCGATTTAAAGATTTTCATACCCACCAGCCTGAAAATTATGGGTTGGGACATGTTTTTGTACGTAAAAAAATTTTGACACCTAAAATCCCTCCAAATCTCGATTAGAGCCATTGTTCGGATCACTAATGAAAACTTTGTTTTTGCAGCAGCGTTGATTTACAGCAGCTCAAAACTGTAAGATTAGTTTGTATTCAGTTAATTGTTAATTTTTGGTTTAATCTACAAAACTCACATGAATAGTTTTCACTTCACCGTGTTTTCTCCTTTTGTGTCTGCTAGTGCCGTGTTATTTGCCTGACTACAACAATAATTATGAATTTCACATTTTTAATCTAATTGTTCCATACAAACTTACTTCTTTAATACCGCAATTCACAAACGATTCCACTTAACTAACTAATTATGCCCTCTACTGATCAATTTCACCATAAATTCACTAAATCGCTTCATTCAACTACAATCGACTATTTCCATCCACTAATGTTTACTTATGTTGCTATGTTTACGTTTTTGACCGTTTGATTCGGGTCGGCTATCCGCACTCAGGTACGCCCGACGACTGCGCGTGTGTTGGTAGCTGCGCGTTCGGTGATGACGTCACCGGTGCCTCAACAGCCCCTCCCCGTAACACTGGCGTAGGCTCTCCGCTGGAGCCAGATTTACTAACACGTATCTCCGGCACCGCAAGCTTTGCCACCGGACGCCTGTATGTTCCTTTTGCTGTGCGCACCACTGTTTGTCTAATTCTTCCATCGGCTCCTTGGATGACCTCCTCTACTACTGCTCGAACCCAGCACTTTCGATTGTCGTCGTCTGCCACAAACACGACTTCGCCTACTTCCAGTGGGTTCTGTTCGCTATGCCACTTCGATCGCCGGTTGATGAACGGAAGGTACTCAGCCAACCACCGTTTCCATATACGGTCAGCCAGCATCTGCGACCTTTTGTAGCTGTCCCGTAGCGCCTCAGCTTCGTTGGTCGGTAGTACACAACCTCCCATTTCGCCTGACGAAAGCCCTCTCAGAAAATGGTTGGGAGTTATCGAACCAGTATTCCCCGGTTCTTGAGGAATATAGGTTAGAGGTCTGGAGTTCACCATGTCCTCTGCTTCAGCTAACGTAGTCTGGAGTATCTCATCCGTCAGTTTACGCCCATCGTCCAACACCTTCACCGCTTCTTTGACCGAACGGACGAGTCGTTCCCACACTCCGCCGAAGTGTGGTGCCGATGGTGGATTGAAATTCCATCGGGTCCTTGAACTCGTTAGCTCCTCAGAACAGTTCGCTTTGATCTCCTTCACGATCTCCTTGCTTGCGCCTACGAAGTTTGTCCCATTGTCAGAGAAATACTCAATGGGAACTCCACGCCTGCAAACGAAACGTCGGATGGCCATTAGACATGCCTGTGACGACAGACTATGGACGACTTCAAGATGGATGGCTCTAGTTCCAAGGCAAGTGAAAAGAGCACACCAACGCTTTTCTGTGTGTCGTCCAACCACTACGTTGATTGGACCGAAGAAGTCAACTCCGGTGTAGCTGAACGGTCTAACGAAAGGAGTGGTTCGTTGATTCGGAAGCGGAGCCATTCTTGGAATCACCGGTTTGCATTTCTGGACCTTGCACCGCATACAGCTTTTCGCAACTCTTTCCAGCTCTCTGCGGACTCCTGGGATGTAAAAACGTTGTCTCAACTCGTTCACTACAGTTTCCCGGTTCGCGTGACCGAACAGCTGGTGATAGTGTTCTATCAGCTTGACCGTCACCGGGTGCCCCTTTGGCAGGATTACCGGAAACTGTAGCTCAAACGGAACGAACTCTCCCTCCTGCACTCTGCCATCCATTCGCATCACATTATGCTCGTCCAGAATAGGCGACAGCTTGAAAATATCACTGGAACGATCAATGGCTTCGTACTTCCCTTCTCTGCATCTAGCTAACGTCTTCACTTCGTCTGCGAACGATTCGCCTTGCGCCATTTTCCACAGATGGCGCTCCGCCTCTTGGTACTCCTCCCTCGAAAACGGACGTTCTACTGCTGATACGGACCCTCTACCTAATCTCACTACCCTGGGATCAGCTGGTAGCGATTCAATTGGCAAACCTCGCTGCTTCCGGCGAATGTTCGACACGAACCTAAGAACGTTCGCCACCGTTCGGACTACAATATTCCACTTCGAAATGCGGCTACAGTTGATCAGCGGCCTTGCGATCTCGATACTGTGGAACAGTAAACTGGCACGTAACTCTTCCTTCACGTTCGGTCTCGGTGGCTCCGGATGTGGCCACGTATCCTCCGTCTCGTACAGAAACTTAGGACCCATGAACCACGGGCTGTTCGATGTGATCCTGGTTCCTTCCTTCCACTTGGTCAAATCATCCGCTATGTTTAGCTTTGTGCGGATCCAGCGCCAATCCGACGGGTTCGTCTTGCTCAATATTTCGCCGATTCTGTATGCGACGAACACTTTGTATTTCCGGTGATCCGACACGATCCAGGAATACACCGTACTTGAATCCGTCCAGAACTGTACACGGTTGATGCGCAAACTGTGATTTTTCTTTACGGTTTCGGCCATTTTTGCTCCAAGCACTGCTGCCATCAACTCCAAACGTGGCGTCGAATACTGCCTCAGCGGTGCCACCTTGGACCTGGCTTGCACCAAAGTACACCGAGGAATCCCATCTACTAGCATTCGAAGGTATGCCACGCATCCATATGCACCTGCACTGGCATCTACGAACACGTGGAGTTGCAGTGATTCGTAGTCCAGTGATTCGCCACCACCGAAATAGTGACGGGGAATTTTCACTCGCTCAATATCCGGTAACAGCGCTGTCCATCTTTGCCACTTTTCGAAACTCTCATCGTCGATCGACTCATCCCACTCACAACCTGTACGCCACAAGTCCTGTATCAGCATCTTACCGTGGATGGTGAACATCGTCAGCAGGCCTAACGGATCGAACAGACTCATCACGATGCTCAAAACGATTCGTTTGGTCGGACGCTCGTCTCCGGACAAGTACGGTTGCAGATTCTCTCGCAGCTGCAACGCGAACGTAAACACGTCCTCTTGAGGGTCCCAGACAATACCCAAAACCCGCTCGGAACCCGTAGCCTTGTCGGTATTGAAATGGACAATTTGGTTCGATTTCGACTCACCTAGTTGCTGAAGTACCTCGCTTGAATTTGATACCCAGTTTCGGATTTCGAAACCGCCCTTTGAGTGGATGTACCGGACCTCGGTTGCCTTTTTCACCGCCTCCTCGACGGTCTCTGTGCTGTCAAAGTAGTCATCCACGTAATGTCGGTTGACAATCGCATCCACGGCATCTGGGAACTGCAACATAAATTCACTGGCGTTGCGATCTTTCACGAAGAGAGCCTGACTCGGCGAACATGTCGCTCCGAATATCGCGCAGTCCATCACATAGACCTCGCCGTCGAACATGAACCGCAGAGCTTGCCTATCCTCCAGTCGTATCTTCAGTTGGTGGAACATCTCTCGGATATCTCCACCGAACCCGACACTGTATTGCCGGAACTTGCACACTACCGACGGCAACGATGTGAGGAAATCAGGACCTTTAAGCAGCTTTGAATTCAGCGAGACACCTCCAACAGCGGAAGCAGCATCCCATACCAGCCGGACTTTATTAGGTTTCTTCGGGTTGATCACGATGTTGAGGGGAAGATACCACACCTTCTTGGGGTCGGTCTCATTTAGTTCTCCAACCGTCGCTTTGTGGCAGTATCCCTTGCTTTGATACTCGATGAGTTGGTTCCGAACGTTTTGTTGCAGTTGTGGACTCTGCGAGAGGCGTTTATCCAAGCTCTTCATCCGGCGTGCTGCCATTGGATAACTGTCCGGAAACGATGGATCATCTTCCTTCCACAGCAGTCCCGTTTCGAACCTGTCCCCAACTCGCTTCGTTGTCCTTTCCAGAATCTCGCGGGCCCGTTGATCTTCAGCTGATTCAGGCAAAACTTCCACCGACACTCCTGCTTCTTCGAGTACATAGTGCGACTTCATCAGATCGTGCAACTCCTGATTGGACACCCCAGCGCATGAATGATGGCCAACGTATGCAGTCCGCAGACTGCCTCCTTCTTGTGGGCCATACACCGTCCAGCCAAGACTGGATCTGACAGCTATCGGCTCTCCTGCTTGACCGATCCGAGATTCAATAGGTGCGAATAAGTGAAGATGCTTCAAACCTACCAAGATCTTCGGCGAGTCGTTCGGATATTCAGCCACCGGAAGGTTTCGAAGATGGCTGTAACGCTGCACCAATTCCTGGTAGTTCAAGGACTGTGCTGGCAACTTGAGCTCCTTCACGGTGTGTACTTTTTCCATCGGAAACTGTTCCTTCGATCCGACGGCAGATATCGTCAGATTCAGCAGCATTGACTCTCGTTCTAGTCTCGTCATTCCAGCGGTCCAGGTTACCCGTAGTGGCTGTGGTTTCCCAGTCGCCTTCAGCTGGTTCGTGATGGAACTTTCCACCAACGAAAACGAACTGCCCTCGTCGAGAAAAGCCATAATGTTAATGGACTTTTCTCCAAAGCTCAACGTCACTGGAATCATCCGGAAGAGTATCGGCAGCTGAAGACTCACACTGTGAGCGTTGCAGTCCGATCGCATTTCGGTTACCTGCTGATGAAGCATGGTATTGTGTTGCCCTTGACACCTATCGACTTTACACCGGATGTTTGCTTTACACCTACTCCTCCCGTGGGCGTTCAGGCATGATCGACATAGATCGAAACGTTCGACAACTTCCAGCCGCTGTTGAACTCCCATCTTCCGAAATTCGTCGCAATTTCTCAGCCGATGATCTGTGCCTCCGCACGTTGGACACGGCTTTCTTTCTGCGAACGATTCTTCGCTGTGTGAGTTGATGTGGCTCTCGTTCTCTTTCGGTCTTCCTCCTTTTGCCTTACCGGAACGATTACCAGTCGGATTCGATGGCATATCGACGATCCCAGTCACTTCGCTAGCAGTAGACACCAGTTCGGACAAGAAGTCGGCCAACGTCCGCAGCGTTACCCTTTCGTGTTGCCGCTTGAACCGAACCCAGTCCATTTTCGTCCCCGGTGGTAGCTTTTCGACTAACTCCTGGATGAGGAGAGGATTCACCAGGTGGTCGTTAAGCTTTGTTGCTTCGAGATGGTCGCATAATTGCTGTACTACCATCCCAAAGCTGATGAACGTACCCAGCCGGTCCGCTTTCGGGCAATCTGCCTTTCTCACCTTCACAAGCAACGTGTTCAGCAACTGCTCCGGTCGCCCGTACAACATCCGCAACGTTTCAATGATTTGCGGAACTGCTTCTGGCAACAACATCCGACTGCAAACTGCCTCCCGTGCAGGGCCTCGCAAGCTCTCCTGCAAACGAGCAAGGTTCTCCAAATTCGAAAATCCGCAAGCCTTCGTCGTGGTGTTGTAGCTGCTGATGAATATTGGCCACTCGTCTGGCCGACCTGTAAAGGTAGGCAGCTTTCGCGAAAGGAACTGTCGTGCCGATATCTGCGCCTTCGTTGGGTTTTCTTCATCCTGTTTGTTCTTCCGCTTACTCTTCTTTAGATCCTTGTCTTCTTCCTCGTCTTCAGAACATGTTCTGCTACTGTCCTCGTTAGAATCGTCCGACTGTTCATCCTGCGAACTCACCTTCGAACCATCGTCGTCACTATCACTTTCATCCTCCTCTTCTTCCTTTGCTGGCTTCTTTACAACAGGTACTGACTTAACCTTAGTTGTCTTCTTCTTCATTCCCTCCGTGGATGTAGACGGCTTTGGATCGACTATCGGTGTGGAGCTAACGCGTAGTTTTCCTCCTGATGACTTCGTTCCTTTGGAACTTTCACGCTTCTTCTTTTTCTCCAGCTTCTCCACTTCCTTTTCCGCCTGCTTTCTGCCTTCGCTCAGTTCCTCGAGTTCCTTCTGTAGCTGCTTCTTCTCCATTTCCTTCTTCTTCTGGAACTTCTTCTCCGAAGCAATCTTCATTTGGAGGATTTGCTTCTCCAAAGCCCACTGCATCTCCATCTCCTCGTTCTCCAGTTCCATCTGCGCTTTAGCCAATGCCAACTTTTGCTCCATCTTCCTCTTCAGACGCTCTTTCTGCTTCTTCACCGCTTCCATTGCTTTCGCAATCTCCTTTTCGTCGTCCGGGTTAGATTTTGCACTGACCTTCGCTTCCTTCGCTTTGGATTGGCCGTCAACACTATCGTCAACGGGAATAACATCGTCATCGTCAACATCATCTTCCGAATCACTATCATCCGGCTCTTTTTCACAGCACGATGAACATCTCCAGTTCTCGTCGTATTCCACGGCCGATCCAACTCCGGCACAACTGAAGTGGAACCATTTCGTGCAGCCTTCGCAGTACACCATATGATCGTCCTCATGATCCGGACGTGTACAAATCGCGCAGTTGTACGCCGTCTCATCCGGATTGAGGTTAGATCCATCCCCTTTAGATTTATTCATTTTTGAGGATGTTCGGATCACTAATGAAAACTTTGTTTTTGCAGCAGCGTTGATTTACAGCAGCTCAAAACTGTAAGATTAGTTTGTATTCAGTTAATTGTTAATTTTTGGTTTAATCTACAAAACTCACATGAATAGTTTTCACTTCACCGTGTTTTCTCCTTTTGTGTCTGCTAGTGCCGTGTTATTTGCCTGACTACAACAATAATTATGAATTTCACATTTTTAATCTAATTGTTCCATACAAACTTACTTCTTTAATACCGCAATTCACAAACGATTCCACTTAACTAACTAATTATGCCCTCTACTGATCAATTTCACCATAAATTCACTAAATCGCTTCATTCAACTACAATCGACTATTTCCATCCACTAATGTTTACTTATGTTGCTATGTTTACGTTTTTGACCGTTTGATTCGGGTCGGCTATCCGCACTCAGGTACGCCCGACGACTGCGCGTGTGTTGGTAGCTGCGCGTTCGGTGATGACGTCACCGGTGCCTCAACAGCCATATTAACGGAGATAAATCGATTTAAAGATTTTCATACCCACCAGCCTGAAAATTATGGGTTGGGACATGTTTTTCGACGAAACAAAATTTTGACACCTAAAATCCCTTCAAATCTCGATTAGAGCCATATTAACGGAGATAAATCGATTTAAAGATTTTCATACTCGCCAGCCTGAAAATTATGGGTTGGGACATGTTTTTCGACGAAAAAAAATTTTGACACCTAAAATCCCTCCAAATCTCGATTAGAGCCATATTAACGGAGATAAATCGATTTAAAGATTTTCATACCCACCAGCCTGAAAATTATGGGTTGGGACATGTTTTTCGACGAAAAAAAATTTTGACACCTAAAATCCCTCCAAATCTCGATTAGAGCCATATTAACGGAGATAAATCGATTTAAAGATTTTCATACTCGCCAGCCTGAAAATTATGGGTTGGGACATGTTTTTCGACGAAAAAAAATTTTGACACCTAAAACCCCTCCAAATCTCGATTAGAGCCATATTAACGGAGATAAATCGATTTAAAGATTTTCAAACTCGCCAGCCTGAAAATTATGGGTTGGGACATGTTTTTGTACGTTAAAAAATTTTGACACCTAAAATCCCTCCAAATCTCGATTAGAGCCATATTAACGGAGATAAATCGATTTAAAGATTTTCATACCCACCAGCCTGAAAATTATGGGTTGGGACATGTTTTTCGACGAAAAAAAATTTTGACACCTAAAATCCCTCCAAATCTCGATTAGAGCCATATTAACGGAGATAAATCGATTTAAAGATTTTCATACTCACCAGCCTGAAATTTATGGGTTGGGACATGTTTTTCGACGAAAAAAAATTTTGACACCTAAAATCCCTCCAAATCTCGATTAGAGCCATATTAACGGAGATAAATCGATTTAAAGATTTTCATACTCGCCAGCCTGAAAATTATGGGTTGGGACATGTTTTTCGACGAAAAAAAATTTTGACACCTAAAATCCCTCCAAATCTCGATTAGAGCCATATTAACGGAGATAAATCGATTTAAAGATTTTCATACTCGCCAGCCTGAAAATTATGGGTTGGGACATGTTTTCGTACGTAAAAAAATTTTGACACCTAAAATCCCTCCAAATCTCGATTAGAGCCATATTAACGGAGCTAAATCGATTTAAAGATTTTCATACTCACCAGCCTGAAATTTATGGGTTGGGACATGTTTTTGTACGTAAAAAATTTTGACACCTAAAATCCCTCCAAATCTCGATTAGAGCCATATTAACGGAGATAAATCGATTTAAAGATTTTCATACTCGCCAGCCTGAAAATTATGGGTTGGGACATGTTTTTCGACGAAAAAAAATTTTGACACCTAAAACCCCTCCAAATCTCGATTAGAGCCATATTAACGGAGATAAATCGATTTAAAGATTTTCAAACTCGCCAGCCTGAAAATTATGGGTTGGGACATGTTTTTGTACGTTAAAAAATTTTGACACCTTAAATCCCTCCAAATCTCGATTAGAGCCATATTAACGGAGATAAATCGATTTAAAGATTTTCATACCCACCAGCCTGAAAATTATGGGTTGGGACATGTTTTTCGACGAAAAAAAATTTTGACACCTAAAATCCCTCCAAATCTCGATTAGAGCCATATTAACGGAGATAAATCGATTTAAAGATTTTCATACTCACCAGCCTGAAATTTATGGGTTGGGACATGTTTTTCGACGAAAAAAAATTTTGACACCTAAAATCCCTCCAAATCTCGATTAGAGCCATATTAACGGAGATAAATCGATTTAAAGATTTTCATACTCGCCAGCCTGAAAATTATGGGTTGGGACATGTTTTTCGACGAAAAAAAATTTTGACACCTAAAATCCCTCCAAATCTCGATTAGAGCCATATTAACGGAGATAAATCGATTTAAAGATTTTCATACTCGCCAGCCTGAAAATTATGGGTTGGGACATGTTTTTGTACGTAAAAAAATTTTGACACCTAAAATCCCTCCAAATCTCGATTAGAGCCATATTAACGGAGCTAAATCGATTTAAAGATTTTCATACTCACCAGCCTGAAATTTATGGGTTGGGACATGTTTTTCGACGAAAAAAAATTTTGACGCCTAAAATCCCTCCAAATCTCGATTAGAGCCATATTAACGGAGATAAATCGATTTAAAGATTTTCATACTCGCCAGCCTGAAAATTATGGGTTGGGACATGTTTTTCGACGAAAAAAAATTTTGACACCTAAAATCCCTCCAAATCTCGATTAGAGCCATATTAACGGAGATAAATCGATTTAAAGATTTTCATACTCGCCAGCCTGAAAATTATGTGTTGGGACATGTTTTTCGACGAAAAAAAATTTTGACACCTAAAATCCCTCCAAATCTCGATTAGAGCCATATTAACGGAGATAAATCGATTTAAAGATTTTCATACTCGCCAGCCTGAAAATTATGGGTTGGGACATGTTTTTCGACGAAAAAAAATTTTGACACCTAAAACCCCTCCAAATCTCGATTAGAGCCATATTAACGGAGATAAATCGATTTAAAGATTTTCATACCCACCAGCCTGAAAATTATGGGTTGGGACATGTTTTTCGACGAAAAAAAATTTTGACACCTAAAATCCCTCCAAATCTTGATTAGAGCCATATTAACGGAGCTAAATCGATTTAAAGATTTTCATACTCACCAGCCTGAAATTTATGGGTTGGGACATGTTTTTCGACGAAAAAAAATTTTGACACCTAAAATCCCTCCAAATCTCGATTAGAGCCATATTAACGGAGATAAATCGATTTAAAGATTTTCATACTCGCCAGCCTGAAAATTATGGGTTGGGACATGTTTTTCGACGAAAAAAAATTTTGACACCTAAAATCCCTCCAAATCTCGATTAGAGCCATATTAACGGAGATAAATCGATTTAAAGATTTTCATACTCGCCAGCCTGAAAATTATGTGTTGGGACATGTTTTTCGACGAAAAAAAATTTTGACACCTAAAATCCCTCCAAATCTCGATTAGAGCCATATTAACGGAGATAAATCGATTTAAAGATTTTCATACTCGCCAGCCTGAAAATTATGGGTTGGGACATGTTTTTCGACGAAAAAAAATTTTGACACCTAAAACCCCTCCAAATCTCGATTAGAGCCATATTCACGGAGATAAATCGATTTAAAGATTTTCAAACTCGCCAGCCTGAAAATTATGGGTTGGGACATGTTTTTGTACGTTAAAAAATTTTGACACCTAAAATCCCTCCAAATCTCGATTAGAGCCATATTAACGGAGATAAATCGATTTAAAGATTTTCATACCCACCAGCCTGAAAATTATGGGTTGGGACATGTTTTTCGACGAAAAAAAATTTTGACACCTAAAATCCCTCCAAATCTCGATTAGAGCCATATTAACGGAGATAAATCGATTTAAAGATTTTCATACTCACCAGCCTGAAATTTATGGGTTGGGACATGTTTTTCGACGAAAAAAAATTTTGACACCTAAAATCCCTCCAAATCTCGATTAGAGCCATATTAACGGAGATAAATCGATTTAAAGATTTTCATACTCGCCAGCCTGAAAATTATGGGTTGGGACATGTTTTTCGACGAAAAAAAATTTTGACACCTAAAATCCCTCCAAATCTCGATTAGAGCCATATTAACGGAGATAAATCGATTTAAAGATTTTCATACTCGCCAGCCTGAAAATTATGGGTTGGGACATGTTTTTGTACGTAAAAAAATTTTGACACCTAAAACCCCTCCAAATCTCGATTAGAGCCATATTAACGGAGCTAAATCGATTTAAAGATTTTCATACTCACCAGCCTGAAATTTATGGGTTGGGACATGTTTTTGTACGTAAAAAATTTTGACACCTAAAATCCCTCCAAATCTCGATTAGAGCCATATTAACGGAGATAAATCGATTTAAAGATTTTCATACTCGCCAGCCTGAAAATTATGGGTTGGGACATGTTTTTCGACGAAAAAAAATTTTGACACCTAAAACCCCTCCAAATCTCGATTAGAGCCATATTAACGGAGATAAATCGATTTAAAGATTTTCAAACTCGCCAGCCTGAAAATTATGGGTTGGGACATGTTTTTGTACGTAAAAAAATTTTGACACCTTAAACCCCTCCAAATCTCGATTAGAGCCATATTAACGGAGATAAATCGATTTAAAGATTTTCATACTCGCCAGCCTGAAAATTATGGGTTGGGACATGTTTTTGTACGTAAAAAAATTTTGACACCTAAAACCCCTCCAAATCTCGATTAGAGCCATATTAACGGAGATAAATCGATTTAAAGATTTTCATACTCGCCAGCCTGAAAATTATGGGTTGGGACATGTTTTTCGACGAAAAAAAATTTTGACACCTAAAATCCCTCCAAATCTCGATTAGAGCCATATTAACGGAGATAAATCGATTTAAAGATTTTCATACTCGCCAGCCTGAAAATTATGGGTTGGGACATGTTTTTCGACGAAAAAAAATTTTGACACCTAAAATCCCTCCAAATCTCGATTAGAGCCATATTAACGGAGATAAATCGATTTAAAGATTTTCATACTCGCCAGCCTGAAAATTATGGGTTGGGACATGTTTTTGTACGTAAAAAAATTTTGACACCTAAAATCCCTCCAAATCTCGATTAGAGCCATATTAACGGAGATAAATCGATTTAAAGATTTTCATACTCGCCAGCCTGAAAATTATGGGTTGGGACATGTTTTTCGACGAAAAAAAATTTTGACACCTAAAATCCCTCCAAATCTCGATTAGAGCCATATTAACGGAGATAAATCGATTTAAAGATTTTCATACTCGCCAGCCTGAAAATTATGGGTTGGGACATGTTTTTCGACGAAAAAAAATTTTGACACCTAAAATCCCTCCAAATCTCGATTAGAGCCATATTAACGGAGATAAATCGATTTAAAGATT